CTTAATTATTTTCTTATTGATGTACATTAAGAATTTTTAGAGTTTACTCTGTTATAAACAAGGCTAAAATGGACACGGTTAGGCGTCTTTGAACATATGTATTTATGCTCGTATGCAGTTATTTCTGTAGAATAGATTATAGAAGTGAATTTCTGGATCAGAAGGAATACATACCATTAATCTTGATGGCTGCTGTTAATTTATCCTCTAAGAACTGGGAATCACTTTGTTCTTATACCAACAGTAGGTAAGACTGCCCTTTGTCTCATTTCAAATCAACACTTAACAGCCAGACATGGTGGCRTACACCTGTAATYCCAGAGTTTAGGGAGGCTGAGGCAGGAGGATCGAAAGTTCAAAGCCAGTCTCAGCAAAAATGAGGCACCAAGCAACTCAGTGAGACCCTGTCTCTACATAAAATACAAAAAAAAAAAAAAATTAGGGCTGGGATGGCATGGCTCAGTGGTTGAGTGCTCCTGAGTTCAATCCCTGGTACCCACCCCATCCCTACTCTCCCCTCAAAAATCAACACTTAATATTAACAGTGTTTTCTTTTTTCATATGTGCTTTATCCAAGGAGCAAATTTTTTTATATTGTTTTAGTTTTTATTCTCTTCAATATTTTTCATTAACCATGTTTTCTAGCTCTTTGGAAAGAAAATATTGAATATGCTGTTTTATGCTGAAAGCAGACATAACCAAAATATTTAAATTCAGTTTCACTGGTGGAAAATAGAAGGTGAAATATGTGAGATGAAAAAGAGTGGAGGCCTGAGATATGCCCTAAGACACGGAATTTATAGAGAGATGGCAGAAAGAAAGATGGAGGCAGAGGCTGCRAGCTGGCTTTATGGACAGAGAGGCAGGTAAATGCAGAGGGTGGACACATGATGAGTTTGAAGAAAAGTCCAGCCACTGAGGCACGGAAGGCCTGTCCTGGAGAGGACACACTTCCCTTCCCCTCCACTGCAAAGGCTGAAGAGTTGAGAGCTGACTGGGTTCTCTTCGTTCTCCTCCATGGATGCATCACACTGGCCTTTTATCTTCAAGAGTCCAGTTGTAGGAAAAATAGAGGAAGTGCCAAGTTTACGCAGGCTCCCGATTCTGGATGTAGATTTCAACAAACATTCTTTCATTTATAAGAGACAGATTCATTGCTCTGGAATTATAGAAGTGAGTACATACACTTAATTAGCTTGTGTAAATGGTAATGAGCAATTGTAAAATTCAAATTGCACACGGGCATGCAGATCATCTGGAATCAGGCCACCTCAACTGACGGACATGGAAGACAGCACATTTTGGGGACTTTGCTATTTTAAATTAAGCACTAATACAGAGTTGGCACCTTTTGTGCCTCCTTTCCTTTCTATAAAAAAAAAAAATACTTAAATAGGTTAACTTGCATCATTTTGAAGAATTACCTCATTGTTCAGTCTCCTCTTGATTTCCTCCTGATTCTGAAAAAATGATTTGATCTAAAATAAATGATTCAAACCAGATAAAGCATGAGATTTGAATGTGTTTTCTTTTTAAATGATAATTCTAGTATGTAGTAACTAAATATTTTTTTACATTTAAACTTAAGTTTTACTGTTTTCTTAATGTAATAGAGACTAATTTGGAATACACATAGGATATCACTTAACTGAATAATGTTCATTGTAAAAGAAAACCAAGGAAATAAATTGATAATTATTTTACGTTAGATTTTATGGGTATTTCTTTCTTGTAGTTACCCATATAATCATCTCTGAAATGGTCTTAAATTTAGCAATAACAAAAACAAAGTTATTATAACTTGCTTTATTAAGCCACTGAAGTAGATGACTATAGGATGATACGTAGGGTTTTTTTGTTGTTGTTTTCTTTTGGTATCGGGAGTAAACTCAGGGGCACTTGACCACTGGGACACATCCCCAGCCCTAGTTTGTATTTTTATTTAGAGATAGGGTCTCACTGAGTTGCTTAGCACCTCGGTTTTGCTGGCTGTGAACTCGTGATCCTTCTGCTTCAGCCCCTAGAGTCGCTGGGATTATAGGCATGCGCCACTGTGCCTGGCTATAGTTATTTTTTAACATTAGCCTTTCTATGTTTTAACTCAGCAAATTTCTATAAGTCCTACCAACTCTTAGAAGAAAAACAATTCATCCACTGACTCATTTCATTTTCCCATCCGCAGTGCACTTCTCCAAAACACTTATAGGGGAAATGAGATAATAATGAGGTATAATGAGCTCTTACTGTGAACCAGCTTTGTTCTAAGTTCTCTAGCTGTATTGACAGCTTTGCTTCTCATAACAGCCTGAAGATAGGCACCATTGTTATCACCCACTCAGAGATCAGGAAGTAGAATCATTGGAAATACCATCTTACACTACAATAAGGGGTACACCTCACTTTGAACCCAGGTAGATGGACTCCAGACAGGTCTACTTTTAACGTCTAATCATGAAGTGTTTTCTGTCTAGAGTATATCTTTACTGTTTCTGTTGAGATAATGGAAGAAATTCTTAAACTATAAACAGATTCTAGCTAAGAAACATTTAAATTATGTGTGACCTGTTTGATCAGCAATCAGCGAAACATTTGCATTACTGCTTACATTGTTTAAAAGTCAGATCATATAAAGGCAATTCTAAATCGAGCTATCATTTAACAGCGATTACTATTAACATAGATTCCAGAGGTTGGCAAACCTTTTCTGTAATAGGCCTGATAGTAAATATATGTGTGCATTCAGTCCTCTTACATAATTTTATTTTTTTATCCTTTACTTTTAGAACCATTGAAAAATGAAAAACCGATCTAGGTCTGAGGCTGAACCAAGAGAAGTCAGTGGCTCAGTTTGGCCCATAGGCTGGTATAAATTTATTGGTGCATATGGGTTTAGACTCCTGCATCTGCCTGAGCACACACCTGTTTTATACATCTTAAAACATTTTGGCTTCAAGAAAGATCTATAGGTCTCTACCTGCCTCTTGCTGAAATGTTGATATCTTTATTAGGGTTCTCCAGAGAAACAGAACCAATAGCATATAGTCAGTGACTTTATTGTGGGAATTCTCCCTCAGGATTATGGAGGTTGTGAAGTCCCACCGTCTGCAGTTTGCACACCAGCAGACCAAGAAAAACCGGTGGTACAGTTCAGCCTGAATCCAAAGCCCTGAGAAGGTGGTGCAGCTTTCATTCTGAGACTAAAGGCACAGGAACTAGGCAGGGAGAGATGCTGATGTAAAACCTGGAGTTCAAAGGCCTGAGAACCTAAATTTATGATGTCCTGGGTCAGGAGAAGATGTATGTCCCAGTTCAAACAGAGATTACCTTATCCTTCCTTTTTTCTATTCTGGCCTTCAGTAGATTGGATGATGCCAATCACATTGATGAGGGAGGATATTCTTAAGCTACTTACTCAGAGGCTAGTCTCTTACAGTAAAACCCTCACAGACATCCCCAGAATGTTTTATCAGCTATCTGAGCATCCCTCAGCCCAGTCAGGTTGACACATAAAGCTAACCATCATATGCCTTGTAAACATTGAAGATGTCAGAGAATTATGCACTCCTGACACTCCCAGAGTTTGAGAGTGAACGCTGCTGCTTTAGAAGTTGCAAGGGACTGGATTGGGCCACAGGTTCCACAGTGCCACTTGAAGAGACTAGCAGAGGTAAAGACAAGAAGGAGCCTTCAGCAGTGTGGCTGCACCGAGGAACTGAGAAAGGTCGAGCGAGGATCTAAGATCTGTGTTCCAGGGGCTGACAAGTACTTTGAGGCTACAGAAAAAGGGAACAAAAGGAAGGGTGGATGTGTTGCATAGCTGGGATTTTTCATAGCAGGCAAAACAGACACTCTTGATCAGACAGTTATCAGATTGATCATTATCTCAGGACTGGTTCCATAAAACTCCAGGGAAGTCAGCATCCCCTAAGAGGCCAATTTGGTTCCCACTGTGAGATGATTGCTCTTGCTTAAGGGAACAGCCTTGGTTTCACTCATGGAGTGACTGCCCCTGCTTAGGGGGTGAAGTCATCATGGGGTGATCTGTCTTCAAGGCTTGCTGCTGCTTTGGGGTCATTTTGGTTCCTTGTCATAAAAATGCTTTTATATAGATCTGTTGTTCCTGGATCCGAGCTAAAGAGCAGCAGAAGAACTCAGGAGGAAAAAAAAAATGTCAAAAAGGCAAAACAGAACCAGGGATGGACAAGATGGAGCTAGTTAAGTCAGTGCCTGGACCTTCCTTCACTGAGTCCGTAAACCAAATATTATTCTGGAATGTTTCTTTCCATGATGGTTTAAACAAATATTTAGAAGCCTAGTTCCAAGAAAAGTCCTCTATAACAGATTCAGATAGTGTCAACTGTGTTCATGGAGCCTCTGTTCTGCAGAACTCTTCTAACTCACACTTTGTTCTCTTGTGTTTATAGAAATATACATTTTTCTTTTTCCTTGATTGCTCTAGAGCTCTTTGCTGTCACTAAAACAATGGACCTTGAAAATGGGTTTTTTGAGCAATAATGTAGAAAATGTGCTCTTAGTAGCTTTAAGATGATATGAATGTGTGTTTCTGCGCAATTCAGTTAGAGATAATTGTTTGGAGACTGGGAGAAGAATTTTATCCAGTGCCAATGATGATCTGAGCAAGAGGGCTGTGCATATTAACCAGAAACTTTGACAATGGAGCACTAGCATAATTTTTTTTCTATTTAAGAAAGTGACCATTTTATATGTACAAGTGAACATGTGTGGGGGCAGAGATTTTCTTACCTTGTTCCTGAAGTTCCCTTACAAAAGTACCATTACCAAGTATTAAAAGGCAAGGGATTACTTCTTAGGTATAAAGTTTGCTAATTTACCAGCTGGATGTAACTTACTTGATGAATCTTCCTTAATAATTGCCTATCTCTGGAGTATGTAGTAAGTTAAGGAATATTCCCTTATTCTCTTATATTACTTTAAAATGACATTATGACTTGATTAGGTTCTTTTTTTTTTCTTTCCAGAAAGTATCTGTATGTCACTTGTTCTTTTAAAGGAACACTTAAAAATGAAGTAAAAAAGGCAGAAGAAGCAGTAAAGATCGGTATGTGGTTATCTGTGGCCCACGACACTACTGTTCATTCACTCAGCAAATGTTAATCAGGCACTTATGAGACATTCGCTGCTGTAGGTGATGCTGGAATTGAATGTCATTCCTACCTCTGAGAAACTTCATAACACATTCCTTTATCTTTATCCCTTTATCTCTGGGTTTGTTTAATTGTGATCTGATTTGTTATTTTAAGCATGATCCTGATTATACTTGGAACTTGTTGAAAACCTGGTGGTCGTGATGCTCTGTTAGATCACAAGGGAGACCAGCATCACATCTACTTTAAAAAGGCTGTTCTGCACATTCAGTCCTCCCACAGCAAGGACAAAGCCATGCTTCCCCTGTCATCTTGGGGTAGAAATAGCTCTCCATCATATTTCATAGATTTTAGAGCATTTTCAGTCAGCCAAAGGTTGACTCATACTTTTGAATTTATGTGTAAACTTAGGTCCTATAAATTGTCATGCCTAAGAAGAAGCCCAATAGAAGAGATTTAAAAGGCGTATGAGCTATGAAAGGTTTTCTGAGATTATAATCAGTATGCCATTATCTCTGGTCATGACTGTGTGTATAGAAAACGCTCACTTAAAAATTGCTTGCAAGAATCTCACTGTATTGTAACTAACTATTAAGCTTCTGCTTGTAGCTGAACTTTCATTGAAAGAAGCACAAATCAAAGTAAACCAGCCCGACATAACTTCTTCGTCCTCCGCCAAGGTATGATGTGGAAAGAGTGATCTTAAATGGCAAACAACATCACTTGCTTTTTCCTGGGCATAGATGTATGTCCCTTATCATTTACTTCCTAAACTCTTAAACACAGATGAGCTCCAAAGATTAAGTTGATTTTAACACATACAGAAAAGTTGAATTCAGAGAAAAAAGAGACCCAGCACATAGGGGGATGGCTGAGACAGCAAAGATGAACGAAATGTGGGTGAATTTGATATTTGGGGAAGAGCAACTTATTTAAAAGGAAAGTAATAACAAGAAAAGGAGAAAATAATGAAAAGCTAGCGGGAAAAAACTAGCCTATCCAGTCTCCTTGAAAATATCTATTCAACTTTCAGCTCTCCATGGACCCAAATAAATGGGGAAAGCAAGAAGAGGACTAATAAGCAGTCCTTCTTTCTAGTGCTAGGAATTATATCCCATAATTATGAATATTAATAACAATACTTCCAGCTTACAAAGCTCTTTTCTTATGAGTTGCTTTGCACAGTTCATAAACATTCTTTGTAATCCTTGCAATATGCCCATGAGTAAGATAAGTTATAAAGAACTATTATTATTAATTATAGTATATTGCAGCTAAGAGAAAAGGAATATTGCTGCAGGATATGTATTGTAATCTTGCTAACTTTTACAAAAATTATGGTACAAAGCTTTCCTCACTATGACTCATTGAGCAGAATAACTATTTGCTTGAATACAAAGGGATGAGCAGGAATATGGGGGTTGGGGGCTGGGAATGCTTTTCTTCACCACCTTTTTCTTCCACTGGCTAAATGTCTGAACCTTTTCAATGACTTGCCCTTAAGCTTTCAAGGGCCAGGGTCGGATCTGAAAAAGCTCCCTCCTAGCTAAGGGCTGGGAGTAAGGGATCAAATCAAAGAGTTGTGCTTGGTAATGCCCCCAAGCTAAATCTATCTAGGTTTTCTCAAGATTCTCTTACCTTTTCTTTTCTTTCTTTCTTTTTTTTTTTTAAGTTAAAGGTAAACCTATCTTATTGTTATTGATTTTTTTCATAGTTTAAGCTTTTTTTATTTTGTATCTACGAAATCGATTCCCTTTGCTTTCTGTCGTTGAGAGTAGAGAGAAACAGATTCTAATAGGCCAGACCCTTGCTTTGCTGCCTTCGCCTGCTGCTTCTCATCACCCCTTTGCTCTGTGCTGATACCAGGAAGGGTGGGAATGTCTTTGACTAGTTTGCTTTGTTGCTCTGAGGTGCCCTGGTTACTTTTAATGCAGAGAAGGGAGCAAAGCAGAATGACCTGAATTTTTGACCTTTTAAATACTTCCAGGCAGTTGAATTTGAAATGAAATACTTACCAACCATTTTTCATTGTCTTACTTGAAAGACAAGGAAAATAGTATCTGTAGGTGGTATATCCATCAAAAGAGATATCCATCTTTTACTTCTGGTGAATGAAACTCATTAGAAGTCATTTCCTATTTGTGAGAATGGTAGTGACCTGTTTTTTCTTTTTCTGCCTGGGTTACAGCATACTTGAGATAGGGTAGTAGCCAGTATATGAAATCACTGGCCTTAGAGCAGACTGAAAGGGAGAAAGCCTTCAGATGGGGTATTCTATGCAGGGAAATTTGGGGAGTATTGTTCAAAGGTATCTAACTTGATAGGAAGGAGACATTTTCTTCTGGCTATTAGCAACATTTATTAATAACTACTTTTTCTCTGAAAGAAGTCTTAGATAACATAATTGAAAATAACATTTTCTGTTACCAAAAGCCAGAGCCTAGATACAAGAAATAACTTACCCAAGTTTTCATGAAGTTTATGACAGAGGCATTGTGGCACTATGGGGCGTACAGATTCTTTCTCTTTTTAGAGAGGACATCTGAATATGTGCAAAAAGAGACAAGTGGGTTAGGACTGGTTTTATGTTCTAAGCTTTTGGAACTTAAGGGTTTCTCAAATATCTACTGAGTATCTACCATGGTAAATTGCATTAAGCAGGGTGATCTACCTTGAGATATTTGGATAATAGGATAATAGTACTCACCTTTCATTAATTTAATGGCTTTATGTTCTTTCCCAACCAAATGTACTTCTCTAGGATATATTACAGAAAACTTTGGAAGATGTAGAAGCCAAGCGTAAGAATCTTAAAGAGAAACAGAGGTAAGACATGAGTTTTTCTGTTTGAAAGAATCCTCTATGCTGTGTTAAAACAAAATCTGATTTCTAAGTGGACAGACTTGGTGGTTATTGTGACAATTTCTCTTTTTCAGCTTGTGATATCTTGGTATATTCATCCTAATATGATCAGCATTCCCCAACCAAGAAAAAAAAGAGTAAAATATCTGTAACTATGTACTGGTGTGTGTACATATGTATCTACATAATGTTCAAACTTCTGAAAAATAGTGAGAAATGAGTTCAGCATTGGTAATTGAGTCTGCCGTTATGTCAGGATAAAGAAGTGCACTGCCCAAGAGATCCACAGACAGCTTTCCTGTCCCTCTGTTCTTTTTACTTAACTCTGGAGGGTTGGTCCCCATTACTTCCTTTGTCTAGTGGACTGAAACTTAGATAGGAAATAATGTTTCAAGTAAGTGTATCGTTTATATGTGCCTAAAGTAAAATTAACAAGATTATGTAAAAAAGAAGTAAAATATTTACATTTGTAAGGCTGACTGTAGCACAAATACTGATCAAATTAATTTGGGTATAACCACTGCCACCCAAGTAAGGTCAGATTTTGAAAATTGATATTTTGGGGAAACCCGTTTTTTTAGGAAAAAAATGATTCATTTTGGTTTTCAACATTATTTTTTGGTGAATCAGCCACTGTTGTATAACTATAATCTTCCTCAAAACTTAAATTTGAAATGTTACTTATGCATTTATAAGATTAATTAAAGAAATGTCATAGAAATTTTAATTGAAAGGCAACACTTTCTCTAAAGTCTTCAGAGTGAGAAACCTTGTGGATGACTTGTTTATAATCATAGTGTAATTTATAAAAAGTGAGTGTCTATATTTCACTACTAATTATGCCAATTTCCTTGAACTGGTTTATGTAGAAAAAATGATACTTAAAAAAAAACTTGAACATAATCAATTTGTCACTTACTACAGAGTGATATGTCTTCTTTTGGAGTCCCTTAAACAGTCAGTACTCTTGTTTAGAGTTCTGATCTCCTAGTTGAGTAAAGATTTTTGAGAAAAAGTTCAATCCCTTTTTACCTAAGATGTACATGCATTTAATAAATGCATGGTATGTTGACCATGCCTACAACTCCTCATTGAGTCTGTGGTACTCTGTGATACCTTATTCACAGAGGTGGGCAGATAGAACTTCATTATTTCCTTGAATTATCCCAGTAGGTCTATCGTGTCTGTTGTAATAGTACATGGTCATGAACCTGGAGAGAACAGCTGTGTTTGTGGAGGGAGGGAGGCTGTAGAGGGAGTACAAAGAAAGAATTCTACTAGTTGTCATTCTTGGTTAGAAAAGGAAAACAATATTTGTTATGTACTTCATTTGTTCCAGGTTAATATTTTAAAATTATCTTCTTTAGTCCTCATGACATCCCAAGTGACTAAGGGATGTGTCATCCCCATATTTTACGTGAGATGGAATGTTTTAGTAGTTCCTCTGTAGTTGCCCAGTTGTTACAATGGTAAACTTGTGTTTGAAGTCAAGTCCATCCCTTCATATGACACAAACTTTTGATAGTTCGCAGCAACCTCCTCAGACTGTAGTTCTTTTTGTCACATTCTTCTATTTCTCAATTTCTGAGAAATATATATATATAATATATATAATATATATATTATATATATTATATGTACATATATTATATATATTATATGTACATATATAATATATATATAATACTTCTAATAGAAAAATCACACAAAACATAGTGCAGGATAGAAAAATAGGAGCTCGTATCTGTTGCTCTTGTAAACTTGCCTTATTAACTTTTATTTACCTTTGATATTTAGAAAAGGTTAGAGAGAAAGCTAAAGAACATCGTTTGGCACATTCTGATCTGTATCAGATATTTGGAGACTTGAGAACAGTCTGAAAGTTAGAAGTGACATCCAGTGTAAGAAATAGCTAAAATTTTGAAAAAAGTCAAATTAACATTTTCCAAAAATGCTAAAATGTACATATCAGATCAGTTAACATTTCAGAACTCTTTTGGCTTTTTCTGGCTTTTCTAAGTTTAAATTAACAGGTTTGTTTTTGAATCAAAGAATGCTTATGTTATTTGCATCATATGTATGCAGAAAACTTGGCTATACAGATACTGAGTATACCCACCAGGTTTTGCAAAATATCTGGAAATGTTATATATCATTCCTTTTATGTGTACCTTCTGAGTTTAACTATTAGCAGTTTTGTAAACTGTGTATTTTATTTAATAAAAAATTTTTCTACATATAACTCTAGAGAATTAAAAAAAGCAAGAACGCTCTCCCTGTTCTTTGGAGTGAACATAGAAAACCGAAGCCGAGCTGGCATGTTCATTTACAGTAATAACCGTTTGATCAAAATGCATGAGAAAGTGGGGCCACAGTTGAAAATGAAGTCCTTGTAAGTATGGTTTTGTTTTCAGATGCACAAGCAGGAAAAGGGAGGTTGTATTAAGGGTCTGTGGAATGAGATGAGTGATTAATCCTAATGGGAGCAGGTGTCATATTCTCTGTTCACCCTTCCTGTCAATGGGCAGGCATTAATTTGCCTAATTTATATTACCAGTGAAGCTGTGTCTTGCTCTAAAGCAAAAACACACTTTTGGAAACATTTGTTTTTCAATGCATTTCTTAAACAGCTTGATGTTTAAACCATACCTTGAGCCATCTCTTTGGGTTTTTAATGTTTCACCAATTTAAAAATAATACAGACACATTAAAGAAATTTTAGAAGAGAAAGAGAAGAAATATCCACAGGCTTGGAGAGCAACCATGTTTAACATTCCGTACAGCCCCTACGTGTGTGAGGTCTTGCCAGTGACCTTCATGAGCACATGTTTTTTGAAGACTCCAGCCCCTTTAAATTCCAGAGTATTACATTCTGTTGTTTTCCAATGGTCTGTACTTCACAGGCGGCTTTCATCAGTCATGTAGAGGCCTGAAGAGACACCATACAAAAGGACAGAGTCAGACAGAATATCCACACAGAGTAGAAAGGGTCAGGAGAGCACTTATCACCTTCCTCTTGAGAAATTAGCAATTCATTTATTATTCACGCATTATTATTCCTGTTTATGTGCCAGGCACTGTACTCAGCTTTGAGGACAAAATGCTCAAGAAGCAATATCTTTTGCTAAAGAACATGTAGTCCAGGGAAAGAGACAAGCATTTGCATATGCTTTTTTTTTTTTCTTTTTTGGTGCAAGCAAGCACTCTACCTACTATGCTATGTCTCCAGCCCTTCAAATATGCATTTTTTTAAACAGCAATAATGAACTTTAAAACCTGAAATAATTGATTCTTTTGCTTAAAACCCCAGAGCTGTTTGTAGAAATGCCTACTACATCTACCAGGGATCTGGCCTCTGCCTAGCTGTGAGCCCCACTCCTTTGCCCATCCCCAAACTCTTTGCATTCTGTTCCTCCCATCACCTAAGCTCATTTCTGCTTCAGGGTCTAGGCACTTGCCCTTCCCTGGACCTTGAGATATGTGTCCTATTAGACCTTCCTACTGTTGGTCCTAGTATGTCATTCAGAGCTCTAAAGTTCCCTCTGTAGGAAGGTCTTTCTTCATTGAATAAGTAACTCAGCTGCTGCTGTCACCTTTACCTGCCACTGTTTGCATATTACAGCACCTACTGTATTTTCCTCATACCACTTATCACCATCTGAAATGACCTTGTTCACTTATCTTTTTTTAGAATCATACCATTCACCCTTTAGTAGATGGGAGAACCTTCCTAACCAGGACCTTGTCTTTCTTGTTATTAACTATATTCCTAGTTCCTGGAACAGGGCCACATATGTTGCTTGAATGAATGAATGATGGAGTAAATGAATGAGTACTCTGTTAGAGGTGAACATCAACTACAATAAAAAGCATTTAGGAGAGGCAGTAAACCAAACTGGGGGAAGTCGGGTCAGGACTCCTGGATGAAGCGATGCCCACATTTAGACTTATAGTATGAATAGTGAAGAGAAGGCAGGTGGAAGAGCAAGTGATGAGAAGCACAACAGACAGGCTCATTGGTCTGGGAAAGTGACATTTGTGTTCCAGGGTCGGGCAATGGGGAACCTCCAAAAGTGCTAGACAACCAAAGCTTTTTCCCAGAACAAACAGGACTGGCAAAGTACCCCAGGTATTTACAGTCTGTGCCACTAAAAAAGTGGAGCAAGCAAACCCCCAAACCCTCTGATCTGACAGTCAGATCCTGTTGCCCTTTGGGATAATGAAACTCTCTGTTCCCTAGTAGAATTCACTGAGCACCCCACGGGACCCTGCAAGGAGTAGAAATTCAGCCTGACACATGAAATGGGCACAAAGAAAGTGATTTTCTGCCAGTATCATTCAAAGGATCATGCTGGTTTGTTCAGTAAGGTCCTCCATCACTGGTATTTATGCTAAAAGGCTTCTTCCCACCAGCCCTTACTGTCCATGTAAGGAGATAGATTTGGAAGAAGAGTTGCATTGATTCAATAATTATGTGCTGAAGGGATTTCAATATGATGTGACGTCTGGGATAACCATTGATTAATGATAATAAAATACAATCATGAGATAACTTGTTTGACTTTGACATGGTCTAAATCAAGAGAATGAATTTATTATTTTTTTAAAGTTGATTGCACCCAATAACCCCATCATAAGTTGAATGTGCCATAAATAAAAAATGTATCTAACACACCTAACCTATCAAACATCATGGCCTAGCTGACCAGCGTTCTGCAGAATGGGGATTATTTTCTAATTGGGAGCTGTGGCTTGCTGCCAACTTCCCATTGTCACAACAGAGTACCATACTGCATGTCACTAGTTCAGGAAAAGATCAAAATTCACAATTTAAAGCAGTTTGTTTCCTTCCTTCCTCCCATCAGCCCACCCATCCTTCCTTTCCAGTACTGGGACTAGAACACAGGCTTGTCAAAGGCTTTACTACTGAACTACGTCCCCAGCCCCGTTTCTGTAGCATCTGAACAACTTCTACACTATCAAAAAGTTGGAAAATTATAAAATTCAAGCTATCACAATTCAGAGACTGTGCAGAATATGTTTGGTCTTTGTATTTCATTCCTAACACAAAGCCCCTAAAATTTATAATTTCCTGAGAGATWGGAGTATCTCTTGATCCAGTAATATGACTCTTGGCAGGATGGGTGTTGGTCACTAGAAAGACAGCACCTTGAATCCAAACCTAGTATTTTCAGTACTACCACCCCTGAGGGAATAGAAGACAGGAGAGAAGCCAGAGATAAGTCAATCACGAGTTGATTATATCTAAAAAGTGGTGTTTAGAGAGCTTCTGGCTCATGAATGCTTCCACATGTGGGGAGGGTGGCACACCCCAACTCCACAGGACAGAAGTGATCCTTCCAGACTTTACCAATGTTCCTCTTCATTTGGCTCTTCATTTGTATCTTTTATAAAATCCTTTATATTAAATTGGTAATCATAAAAAAAGTTGATTGCAAATGACCAGCATATATTTGATATTTCTTTTTGTGCAGCTAAATTTCATAAAATTTATATGTGTGTTTATTCCATCAGACTTGGTGCAGGCATAGTTGGAATTGTTAACATACCCTTGGAGATCATGGAACCATCCCACAATAAACAAGAATTTCTCAATGTCCAAGAGTATAATCATCTACTGAAAGTCATGGGACAGTACTTGGTTCAGTACTGTAAGGACACTGGGCTCAGTGAGTATTCAATGCTTATAGTAAGAGATGTTTAAAAGGGTTCAAACTGTGTGATTTCTTTAAGCTGAAATGATTATATAGGTATCCAGTAACCTAAAGCCCCCAAAGAGTTCCAACTTGAAAAACAGAAAGAGAAGGGCTGGGGCATAGCTCAGTGATGGAGTTTTTGCCCAGCGTGCTCCAGACTCTCGGTTTCATCCAAACACTGTAGAAAAGAAAGAGAGAAGAAAAAAAAAGGTGAGAGAGGAACTAGTTTTAGAACTTTTACCAGAATATCATGTGAAAAACAAATCAGCAGACTAGAAATTATAAGAGGGCAGCCAGAGAGCGGAGTGTGGTTGTGTCTGACTATGAGGAGGGAGACGGAAGGTCTCCAAACACATTGAGAAGCCACCAGAGGACACTGAAACTCCACAGTGCAGGAACACATGAGCCTGCRCAGGCCCTCATAGACCTTAGTAGCTCTTAGAGCATTCCTGCCTCACACCATACAATAGTAATTATTGTCCCTGGGTGGTATGTTAAACATTGTTATGTATATTTAACATTGATTACGAATGTCAATTCCAGAAAGATTTCACAAAATCAGTATGTTTAGAAACTTTGAAGATAAACTTTAGTTGTCTGGAGAATTTGACCAACCCAGGTCACCTCATTCCTCAGTGATACTTAAACATTTAGGTGGTGTGCTGCTTATTAAAAATGCATCTAACACATTTAACCTATCAAATATCGTGGCTTAGCTGACCAGTCAAATAGACACTTGTTTTTAACTTACTCAGATGTAGGACTTCATTTATGGAAAGAAATTGACAAGCTACTGTGTATTTGTTATGAATTTGTTCAGTGATTTACATGAAGTATGTATAATTCATTTGTGTCCAAAAAAAAATGTCTCTCCTTGAAACAACTAAAAATCTTATTGCTAGGCTTAATGTTGGAAGTTTAGAATATTTTCTTTTCTTTTGTACCCACCTTATTTGGATCTAAAATTTTCTCCCCAATGAACCAGAGGGATGAGTACAGGAACTCAGGGGGAAAGTTAAAACGGGGAATGAGATTACATGGCCTAAARCCTGCTCAGTGTGTGATCTGTGCCTCAACAGGCATTTGTCCACTTGGAGGTTGTTAGAAAGCAGAATGAATTCGAAGCTCCACTTGAGACCTACTGATTTAAAATCTGCATTTTCACATGATCTCAAAGTGGCTTCTCTGCACGTTCAAGTTTGAAAAGCACTGCTCTGAAGAGCACACTCATGAAATTTTTCTTTGGGTAGACATACTTTTTTCACATGCGCTTTTTTTTTCCCTCAGAGAGATGTTTGAAATTCCAATATAGGAATGACTCTATTGTTTGATAGGATTTGTTTAAAGCTGTGGAAAATGTAAGACAATATAAATGTAAAACATAAATATAAACAGGGAAATATAAATCACACATCCATGTCCTGGTTTTTAAAGGGTGTCATGACATGGTACTAAAGGAAAACACTATGCATTGGAAAATTGTCTAACTCCCCATTATTTTCATATCTTCACTATGATCCCATCCTTGTCTTCCTCACGAAGATGTAGGTATTGAATATAAGGTCAGAGGAGTCCTCTCCATCCAGCACACACTTAGGAGAGGTATCCTCCACCCTGTTCGTGGGTGGACCTCTCATCCCCTTTCCCTGTGTCTAGGTACAAACCCTGCAGTTGTCTCTCCAATCTGGGTATCATGTGCCAGCCTCTCTACACCAGCTCTATGTAACTCCTTGTCCTTATCCTATTTTTTTTCCAAACATGTCTCAAGGGACATAATAGGGTTCAAAATAAATATATTTATATTTTTATTGTTACTCATTTATATCATCTTATTTTCCTGTTTCTATAATTGTCTACAAGTTGATTTAGGGCTATCAGATTCTCTCACAAAACTGTTCCTCTAGAAAGAARGCAGAGAATAGAACAGGGATAGCAAATAGCAAGCATGTGTAGTTGTTCATACGTCTCACAACTTCATTCCCAAACTTCATTATCAACCTGAAACAAATCATGAAGGTCAGGATTGATAGTCTCAGTAACTTCTGAGGAGCTCCGTCTTCAAGGTCTTTGCTTATCAATTCCTACAGGGGTGTGGGACAGAAGTCATGTAATGCTTGACTAATACTCTGAAAGTTAGTATTACAGGGCACACACTTTTAATGAAAAGTATTTGGGTAGTTTTTTTGCCTTATAAATAAAAGATGCAATCTTTGTATTTGCTSTAAATCTGATCTGATTCTGTGGAAAATTGGGCTCTTGTAAAAATCGAATCAGCAGAAAGGGAAATGGAGAGGTAATGACTTTGTGTCATTTATCAAATCTGCATTTACTTTTGGCACAGTGGATGCTAAGAATCTCAGAAATATTTTTCTTGACTCTGAATCTGACCTCAGCTCGCTGTCTGCTACTGTTTTCTAAAGCTTTATGCTTCATTGCAATAAGATGGAATTATTATTTCAGCTTTGGGGAATAGGGAGAGAAGAAGACAGAAAAGATGGGGAGAAACAGCAAATGAAGTTTGAGTTAGAACAGAAGCAATTATGTAGATATGTGTTACTAAACTTTTCCAAAATGGATCAGAATTGAGCTGATGTGTTAAAATGAAATCTGTGGTATAAAATTATAATATATTTTTTTCCAGCAGAATTCAAATCATAGGTCCTCAAAGAGGACACAAAGAGGCTAAATTACATTTACCCAATCACCCTAATCCCCTGCACCTCACAGTCATTAAAGCCTGAGCAAGAAGGGCTTCCCATGAGGAAAATCGCTACCTCTTGAGGTAGGCCATGAATCTTGACACCACTCAGAGGCCACCCTGTCTGGGAACTTCCAGTTCACAGGACATTGTGGTCTTGAGTGCTTGCATTTGCACAAACTGATAAGTTGAAATTCTTCTAAGAGGATGGTTTTTCTAGAAGGGACCTTTGGGATAAGTCATGAGAGCAGAGGCCCCCTGATTGGGATTGGTGCCATTGTGAAGGAGACACAGGGAAGCTCCTCACCACTGCACCAAAGTGAGGTCAAAGGGAGAAGATAACTGAACCTGGAAGTGAGCACTCACCAGTCTCTAAATCGACCAGGACCTTGATCTTGATCTTATTTATAAGAAATAAATTCTATTGTTTATAAGTCACCCAGTCTAGGGTATTTTGTTAGAGCAATCCAGATGGACTAAGATGACTTGACAATTAGAAATAGGATTGGTTCCTAACAGAGAAGAATGAAGCCGGAAGCCAGTTTCTGGGAAGCAATGAGTTGTTAGCCAAGCCAACTTGATCCTTCCCTTTTGGGGCTACGGGATATATGCCTAAAGCCTTTCCAGAGGACAGCCCTTCAGATATTTGAAGACAAGCTGATCTCCCTCTTCAGTCTTGTTTTATCCTGACTAATATTTCTCTTTTTTTCATTTTTAAAATTTTAATTTCTTATATGTGACAGCAGAATGCATTACAATTCACATTACACATATAGAACACAATTTTTCACATCTCTGGTTGTACACAAAGTAGCGTCACACCATTCATGTCTTTATACATGTACTTAGGATAATGATGTCCATCTCATATCCTAATAGTTCTATGTCTTATTATTGTTCTTCATTTGACATGGAATTGAATATATTTGCTATTCTAGCATTACAATGATAAGTTTATTGCCTAGAAACAAAATGTTCCCAGTGAAACCTGGACATCCTCCAGTGAGATGGTCTCATCATTTTTCTTCTGAGATTTTGTAATGTCAATGGTGTAGCCTAATCATATACTAACTCTCAGTAAGCACATTATTTGACCCTTAGTGTCTTTATTACCAAAAAATTTCAACAAAATTTCTACTGCGTGTTCCTATAAAGCTACCCTTCTCTCTACACTTCTCTGCACTTCTCTCTACTTATATTTTTCCAGTTAGTGTTTTTGGGCCTTACTGTACCACGATGCACTTTTCCTTATTAAGTTTTATCACCTTATTTGGTTTCATTCATTCAAATTGTCAGGACTTTTCTTTGAATCTAGTGCTGACTTATAACTAACGTATTGTTTTCCCATATTTGTGCAAAGCCTGGCTAGCATTTTCTCTGTGATTTCACATAAATCCTATTGCATAGAGAAAGAAACACAAGCTCTGTGATCTCTCCTGATATAGAAATGGGCACATCGCACATGATTGAGGACAGTGAACCAATTATAGGTTTTCCTAGTGATGCTGTCATCTAACTCTTGTCAATTTCCCAGTTTATGCACAATATTTGTAAGATGAATATTTCTGTTAAGATAATGTCTAGTCCTGGATATAGCTAGCTTCTCACAATAAAATTTTCTTTCATTATGTATTTAGTCTCTAAGATCTCAAAAGTACACTGTCAGAAAATGAAATATGGGCTGGGGGYGTGGTTTAGTGGTAGAGTGCTCGCCTAGCACTGGGTTCGATCCTCAGCACCACATAAAAATAAATAAGTAAAAGTATTGTGTCCAACTACAACTAAAAAAAATATTACAAAAAAAATGAAATACAACTTCTCAGCTGGGGATATATGTTGAGTAGAAGAGCTATATAAATATTAAAAGGCGAAAACATGAGACAAGTTTAAGATATAGGCTGAGAAACAATTGATGTCTTGTTAATTTCGTTTTCCAAGCTATAGGTTTTATGTATTTATTTTACTTTGTCTTAAAGCATTGTGTTACAAATATTATATTCTATGGTTTATCTAAATTTTTGTATGGTGTTCTGGGTAGAATCATGTCCCTCTCAAATGCATATCTTGAGGCCCTACTTCCAGTACTTTAGAATGTGGCTGCATTTGGAGATGGGCCCTTTAAGTAGTATTTAAGTTAAAATGGGCTCTAATCCCCACTGACTGGAGTGTAAAAGGAGGAAATTTGGATACACAAAGAGATACCAGGGATGGGTTGAACAGAGAAAAGATCATGTGAGGCTGCAGCAAGAAGGTTGGGACCCTCAGAAGAGACTCT